TCGCCATCCTCAGGCTCATGTAAGTCATGATAGAAAAATGATCAAGCAGTGTGTATACTGCAGGAGGACACATGAAATTAGGAAACAACTATTTTTTTATGGTTTTTACATATTTTTTCTGAAGGATAAGCACATATCAACCTATTTCTGTCCTTTGGTCACACCGTTCTGTTTTGTAACTCCTGTTTTAACCATTTTTGTTTACTGTCCAATTTAGAATTGTTAAGATAGGAGGATTAAGTAAAGTTTTATATATCTTCACAGATGCAGGTAGATCCAGAGCCACAGAGGCGGAACTTGACACTTCTATCAGATTGTGGCTTAAGAATGCCCATGATAGGGATGGTGGCAGAAAATTGAGGGCCATCAAAAAAGAAGGTAAATACATATTAAAATATGTTGTTATTGCCTTACATTCATAATAATCATGATAAATGTGTGAAAAAAAATGTGCTTGAGCATGTCTCAATTGCCTTTTTTTAAGCTTAACCCCTCTTTAACAAATATATTTATATTGCATTACTGTGTATTCAGTTACAATTGACATTTCTGTAATTCTGGTATGTATATAGTTAAGTTCAAACATACCAAAATAAAATAGTATAATTGAAAATTATTCCTTTTCAGCAAGAGACGGACAGTTACCACTTGCAGAACAATGTAATAGGTCATTGGATAGTAGCACAAGTGAAGAGTCTGACTAGTTTCTCAAAAGCTCATTTGTGTGCTACCACTACAAATGTTATGAAAGGAAAACTGTTGCATATTATTTTGTAACTTGAAAGAATGGCTCAAAGAATTGACATACAGGTCAAAGTGGAAAGCCAGCTTGATTGGGTTATTACTGTATGAAATTTTCACTTTCAATTTCTGGAATTTTCAAAGTATGAACTTGAACTTCCAAGGACCTGAAGCCTTATGTTAGTTACACTTTACATCATACTTAATTAGTTCCATTCTGTTTTGCATTATTAAAATTTGATGTTGACTTTGCTGTAAATGTATTATTGCATCAGAATTGACAGTTTGCCATTTTGTGCATTAATTTTTTCTGCTTTTTGTAAATACATTTGACAGCTGTGCTGTCTTGTTGCAATTTTTTGATGAAATTTTCATATTTTTCATTCTGATATTTGTGAACTTGAACTCTCATTGGCTGAAGCCTTTGCTTTTACCTTTATCAGCATTACCAGTTGTGCATAATTAAAATTTGTAGTTAAGCATAATGTATTATTGCATCGGAATTGAAAATATCCTTTTTGTGCATTGTGCTTTGTTGTCTTGTGTTATTATATGTGAAATAAAAGTGATAAGTGATAAACCNTCTGAAAACTCGCTTTGACGAATCATGGGGCACACTTTCTTGCGTTCGGAAAATTTAAATTGTGCCCAAGGTGAGTTTAGCGATCGTTCGTACAGAACGGAGACAAAAAATTCAGATTCAGAGAAAAAACGTTTCGTTCGTAATTATTGCGGCGTTCGTATAGATTGGAGAATTACCGTAAGTATAGTGAAACCATAAAGCCTACATGTGCATTATTAATGGTCTTGATAATATTACATGATGCTTAGTTATTTTGGTAACTTGAGTTTTGGTGACTTTTTGGAAAATAAATTTTCACTATGATAGCAAATATCAAAATTGGGTTCAAATATTTCACAATTTTATGTGAAATCTCATGTGAGCGATTATTCAGTTTACATTATAAACCAAGGAATTATACTAGTGCTCTACACCAGTATGATGTAACCTGTATACGTTTTTAATGTGAATCCAGTCGGATTGTGTATGGCCTACTAGCACTGACACCTGGTGAGCAAGTTTTCTCATTTGCATATGAATAAAGGTCAAGTGCGCACTTGAATAAAGGTCAAGTGAGCACTTGAAGTTTGGGATTCGAACAAGCAAGACGTTGTTCTTTCCTTCTAGTCATGGTGGCAACGATTTAAAAAGAAACTTGTAACTTCTTATGTCAAAAATACATCTTAAGTGGAAAATTCATTTGATAATGGCTAGTGCAAGTTCACTCAAGTCCCAAAGCAGTGGGTACTAACAAAGACTGAAACGATAGGATCATTCGAGAAATGGAAACAAAATCTTGAATTTCTCCTCTCTCAAGACACAGCCTTTTCAAGCCTTTTACCAAGTACAGTATCATGGTTAAAGATGACAAAACAAGCTCCTCTCCGGAGATTTGTCGACAGGACCACCCACAATTCTAATGGCATTATGATTCAAAATGGGCAGCTCAGTCATTGCCAAAAAGAAAGTCTTTGCGATTACAAGAGACAATCCTGTTTGAATACCACCAAACAAAGAAGCTAGGCCCGGTTTAAATCAATTCTTGACTCTTTACCCGAAGAACATGTTGCCAATTACTACAATGACATGTCAACAGAAATGTCTTTCATATATCCAAAGCATACCCTGATAGAATTGATTAGATCTCCTTGTTTCAGTGATCTAGTCAATGACTAGAGTACATCAATACAGCAAAAGCTACAAACCCTACCTTTGCCCTCTGGTCATCATACATAGATATGGTGCAGCTGTTCCTTGCATTCATAAGAGCTACACGAGAGTCCAACTGGAGATTGCACCTTGCTTCCATTAGGATGATGATCCCATGGTTTTTCAGTTATGACAGAGTCAACTGGGTAGAAATGGTGAATTTGCTCATTGCCCACCCTGATTCACATGAAGATCTCACTGCACCAGGAAACTGGACAGTGCAACGCCAAGAGAAGTATGGTTTCTCTGCCACTGCCTGTGACCAGGCCATTGAATATGGGAAGAGAAGCAGTGAAAATTTACGATTCTTTTACGTGGGTGAATGATGATGAAAAGTATGATTTAGAAGGAGTTTTCACGAAGTTTGACCAACATTTTGGAGTACACAGTCTAAGAAATGTGAAGAGACAAGAGTTCCTGAACTCAAAAAGAGGTAACATGACAGTTATGGATTTTATCGCTACTTTAAAGAGGAAAGCAGAATATTGTCAGTATGGTGAAGAAAAGGAAGGATTCATATGTGACATGATAATCAATGGGGTAAATTATTCAAAATTGTCAGAGAAACTTATGGAAATTCCACCTGCTGAGCTTACCCTGAACAAAGTTATAGAAGTTTGCAGGCAAGTAGAACTCACTGCAACCCATTTGAAGTCACTGGGTGATGAGAATCCAAATGTTAACACAGTGCATACTCGCCATCCTCAGGCTCATGTAAGTCATGATAGAAAAATGATCAAGCAGTGTGTATACTGCAGGAGGACACATGAAATTAGGAAACAACTATTTTTTTATGGTTTTTACATATTTTTTCTGAAGGATAAGCACATATCAACCTATTTCTGTCCTTTGGTCACACCGTTCTGTTTTGTAACTCCTGTTTTAACCATTTTTGTTTACTGTCCAATTTAGAATTGTTAAGATAGGAGGATTAAGTAAAGTTTTATATATCTTCACAGATGCAGGTAGATCCAGAGCCACAGCGGCGGAACTTGACACTTCTATCAGATTGTGGCTTAAGAATGCCCATGATAGGGATGGTGGCAGAAAATTGAGGGCCATCAAAAAAGAAGGTAAATACATATTAAAATATGTTGTTATTGCCTTACATTCATAATAATTATGATAAATGTGTGAAAAAAAATGTGCTTGAGCATGCCTCAATTGCCTTTTTTTAAGCTTAACCCCTCTTTAACAAATATGTTTATATTGCATTACTGTGTATTCAGTTACAAATGACATTTCTGTAATTCTGGTATGTATATAGTTAAGTTCAAACATACCAAAATAAAATAGTATAATTGAAAATTATTCCTTTTCAGCAAGAGACAGACAGTTACCACTTGCAGAACAACGTAATAGGTCATTGGATAGTAGCACAAGTGAAGAGTCTGACTAGTTTCTCAAAAGCTCATTTGTGTGCTACCACTACAAATGTTATGAAAGGAAAACTGTTGCATATTATTTTGTAACTTAAAAGAATGGCTCAAAGAATTGACATACAGGTCAAAGTGGAAAGCCAGCTTGGTTGGGTTATTATTGTATGAAATTTTCACTTTCAATTTCTGGAATTTTCAAAGTATGAACTTGAACTTCCATGGACCTGAAGCCTTATGTTAGTTACACTTTACATCATACTTAATTAGTTCCATTCTGTTTTGCATTATTAAAATTTGATGTTGACTTTGCTGTAAATGTATTATTGCATCAGAATTGACAGTTTGCCATTTTGTGCATTAATTTTTTCTGCTTTTTGTAGTTACATTTGACAGCTGTGCTGTCTTGTTGCAATTTTTTGATGAAATTTTCATATTTTTCGTTCTGATATTTGTGTGGACTTGAACTCTCATTGGCTGAAGCCTTTGCTTTTACCTTTATCAGCATTACCAGTTGTGCATAATTAAAATTTGTAGTTAAGCATAATGTATTATTGCATCGGAATTGAAAATATCCTTTTTGTGCATTGTGCTTTGTTGTCTTGTGTTATTATATGTGAAATAAAAGTGATAAGTGATAAACCTATCTCTGACTTGTTTCTTAATGCAAAAGGAGATAAAAGATAAATAATATTACCCTAATTAAAGATTAATTAAATGAAATAAAGATTAATTAAATGAAAAAAAAAACCTGTAAAACAATTGGTGGCTTACCAGTGGCCTGCCGCTGGTTAGCCACCATAAGCGGCTTGCCACCGGTGGGCCACCGGCTATTAGCTGGACATTCCACCGGTGGCCCACCGGTGGCCCACCAGTTGTGCTACCAGTGGCCCACCGGTGGCATGTTATCTGGGATGACTTTATTGACTATATCAACATTCAGTATATAAGTAATGTAGTTTTTTTTAATTTCTCATTTTTTTTTTTCTTTTCTTGTAGTTTAGATTTAAAGCACTTGAGTACAGTTTATATGTTTAAAAAAAAAAAAAAAAGGAAAGAAAGAAAAGGGGATGCAATGTATGGTAAAAAAAAAGGAAAGCACTAGGTGCCGATGTGAATAAAGGGAACTGGTTGAAGGTGCATGGCCTCCATTTTATCTTTGTCTTAACGGAGACATTACACTAAGGTACACAACTTGATAACTGTATATTGTATTTTTCTGTACTGTATGGATCGTTATTCAATACTGAATAGGCATATGTATGTTTTTAGGAAATTATAATACAAGTTTATGGTTGCACTCTTTAATTAAGTCATTTTTTGCTTTTCTTAATTAGGTGAATCCAGCTTCTGTAACTCGGAAATTTAATGGAGACTGGAAAAAACTTACCCTTGGGTAGAGCTGAAAGAAGGGGAAGCTGAAGGGGGGATGGTTTGCACCCTTTGCTCTAAAGCAAAAAAAAAAAGAAACATCTATACATCTGAGAATTGATGCAAAAACTTTAGAATAAGTTCTTTAAAGGAACACTCACTAACAGTGGACCACCGCACCAAACCATTTATGCTTGATCTGTCCCATTCACACAGCAGGATGTGAAAGAGGCTTTTCTCGACAGAACATCATCTTAAGTCCTTTAAGAAACAAACTTCTACCCGAAAATCAAGACAAATTAATCAGAATAAGTGTTAATGGCAGAAATTCTCATGCTAGTGAAGATTTCTTCAAAGGGGCTTTAAAACTTTGGAGAATGGAAAAGTCGCGTATTTTGTTATAAAATTCCCAAAACTAAGTAAAAAAAAATATTACTCTCAGTCTTTAAGCTTCAGTGACTTGCTGTTGTTCTTCAGGATTACTGCAAAGGTGATACTAGAGACAATATTGTTATTTGAACACATACACAGTCCCATGGCACTATGTACTCTACATTAATCAGTTCTGAAGATCAAGTGTGCTCAAAATAAACTCTTTGGTGCTAAATCACTGTGATTACATTGACATTTCCAATGAGTCTTGGGAGCTTAAATGCTTTGTGGACTGTTGGTACAGGGACTGTCTTTTGGGTATTTCCACAGAAAATTAGGTCTGATGACAATGTTCTATGTTCCATAGGTTGTGAAAAATAAAATGGTGATAGCCAATGAAAACATCTTTTATTGTCATTTTTCATTATTATAATTACAAAATTAATTACCTTCTTATAAAAGCATCATATAATTAAACATACATCAGTAAAACATTTATAAGTAAAAGCGAATTTAAATAAATATTTGTCCTGGATTTTTTTACATATGTCCGAGAAAAAAATATAAGTCCGGATACTAAAATTTGCATTTGAGCTGTGTCATGTTCTGTCCTCCAATATCTGGCACTTATGGGATGAGATATTTTTGCTGAAAATTTTACTTTCAAAAAGGCCAGATTATTGTCAGAAAATATAGAAAATGAGCTATATAGAAGCATACATGGGGACCCCATCTAGGCAGCCTTGCACCATAAGCTCCTATTTTTAAAAACTACCACAAAAATCATTTAACTGCACCCTCAATTTCCCCAGAGATCAATCACAAGGACCCTGCCCCCCACCCTTGACACATACTTGTCGGAAGTGACGCAAATAAATTCCTTGGTGCGGGCCCAGTGGTGCACAAAAATTCCTAGTTTGGGATCCATGGAATTTGTCCTACACCTGTATTGAACAGACAACACTATCCACTTGTTTTTGTTAGGAGTCAACACTATATTTTATTTAAAATCACAGACTCTGAATCACCAAATATTTGCCAGCAATAAACAGCTACAATATCAGAGGCTAGTTGTTTTCCTTCTGTGGAGATTGACCTAGAAAACAGTACAAAATCAACTGAGTTGGGCCGACTGTTTTGTCACATGCTACCCCCCACCACCATGCCACCAAAACGAATGAAATATAGGGTACCGGAGAAGATCAGCATTGGTCAGAATTGTGCCGGAAGTGACGTGTAGTGGTGTAAGACGTAAAGCTGAGTGGTCATTTTTGGCTGGAGGTGAATGGGAATGAAGACGTGGGCTTGGAGAAAAAAGCAGTTATTCTAACAACATTTTTTTTTTTTTTTTTTTTTTACTCACAAAAAGACAAACAAAAATACATATGTAGACACACACACAAACACACACACACACACACACAATAACACACACAAGACATTCATTATACATTAAGGCTTCGTTCACATGCAATGTCTATTTTCTAAATTCTATTTTCTATTCGCGCTATCTTATGATCACGGTCTGTGCCCTGAATATCCCGCGGCGTAATTACTGGCAGCGCGAGCCAGTTACTTATAGTAACT